GTTAAAATCTCTCCTTTATTATTTATTTGTTGCCATAGTGAACAAACACCCAAAGGTATTGAGTAGTATTTTTTACTCTCTCTTTACTTGATCTGTTCTCATTCTTACAGAGAGAACTACTTCATTTTTCTTCATAGCTGTCCTTAATCAGAACTTTCAAGTCTCTGCAAATATGTTATTTCCCATCTTTGTGATATATATTCCATCTTTGTCAAGAATTTATCATTTTAATGTCTTAACAACAGGAAATCAAATCCTGTTTTGTGGTGATTTGTTTCTAGAGAAACATTCATGTCTCTTAGCTCCTTTCTATTCTTGAGCCCCAACTCTCATTTGAAGAAGAAGGAAAAAAAACACCCACTTTATCCTTAAGTCTATGGTTCTTGCTTAGATCATTGCCATAGATTCTTCTCGGGGTTCACCTGTAATTTTGTTTCATTCCTATATGAAACTATAGATGGAAGTTTTGCTCAGCAGCTTTGAAAAACCTCAGCAGTCTCTCCTTTACGTCCAGATGGGATATGGGCCAATAAAATAACACAGTGTTCTGTTTGGCTAAAAAGGGAAGGGAAGGAAAGGAATGGACTAACTAACAAAAGATTTAATACAGATATTGGCAGGCAGGTTCGATAAATCTCAGCAGGCTTTCCTTCACATCCTAGAGAGGATAAGCAGCACCCATTCCAATTGGTAATAAGAGGAAAAGAAAGGGATAATTGAGAAAATTATTTTTGTTTTAGATTAGGGAGATATGAGCATGTGTATAGGCTGAAAAGAAGGGATTAGTGAAGGAAAAAATAAATGGAAGATCTAAGAGAGAGAGAGAGAAGATAAAGGATCAGGGTCCCAGAGAAATTGGAGGGAATAGAAATAGAGGCAGAAGGCAGGACCTTGAAAACAAAGGCAGCTATTTCCTCTGAAACAAGGGGAAGGATGAAGCAATAAGTAATAGCAAAAGAAAGAATGTGAGGAGAGGAGAGGGGAGGTTGGGGAGCCCTTGTGGATAACTTTCATGTCTATAAAATATTTGGTGAAATCCTCTACCAATAGAAAGTGAAGATAGGTTTATATTCTTAAAAATGATGGAAACCATCGTTCTCGGCAAACTGACACAAGAGCAGAAAATCAAACACCGAATGTTCTCACTCATAGGCGGGTGTTGAACAATGAGAACACATGGACACAGGGAGGGGAGCACTACACACTGGGGTCTGTTGGGGGGAAATGGGAG